TTTCCGCTGCCATATGAGGATGTAGCGAGGATGCTCTGATCATCCACTGGCATTTGTTTTCCAGAATTATGGGCCTAGGGCATTTTGGTGCCCCTGTCTCAAAATTTAAAGAGAAAGACCTGGGGATGTACCTAGTGCAAAATTCCTGAGTTCAATGTTCAATACAGTGTGTTGGGGGGTGGGGTGATTTTTCTTTATAAATGAACCAATCTCCATGTTCCTTTGTAGCAGCCCAAATGGGCTAATGTAGATTGTGATGAAAGTGCTGAGAAAATTCGGATGCTTTAGAAAGTTTAAAAGAAGTAAAACTTTCCAATAAGTGGAAAAGACATTAGTCTCTTATACTAGGTAACTAGGGTTATCTAAAGTATACCTTTGTTGAGACATAATTTACATGCCATTTTAAACTACTTTAAAATGGCTTATTGTTAGTGTTGTCCAGCTGTCACCACTATTTAATTCCAGAACTTTCATCATGCCAAGAAGAAACCTGAAACCCATTATCAAGGTACTCCTGTCCCTTTCTTCCTCAGTCACCAGCAGTAGTAGTCTTTCTTTATTTCTTTAGATTAGCCTATGCTGGAAATTTAATAAAAAACAGAATCATACAATACATGATCCTTTGTGACTGGATGATTTCACTTAACGTAATGTTTTTAAGATTGATCTACATTGTAGCATTTCTTTTCATTATTAAAAAATATTTTTGGGGTACATCACATATATGATTTACAAATATTTTTTCCCTTTCTGTGGGCTTTCACTTAACTTTCATGGCTATTTCCTTAAAGCACAAAAGTTAATTTTTGATGAAGTCCAAGTCTGTTTTTTTCTTTTGTTGTTTCTGCTTTAGGTGTCATAGCATCCAAGAACTTACTGTTCAACCCAAGGTCGTGGAGGTATACCCATGTTTTGTTCTCAAACCATCATAGCTTCTTTCTATTTGTAATCTATGTTGAGTTAATTTTTATTTCACAAAGTCTAAGACAACTTTATGCTTTTACATGTGGATATCCAGTTGTGCCAGCATCATTTATTGACTATTTTTTCCTTTATTGAATTGTCTTGGTATTCATGTCAAATATAGAAGTGAGTTGTGCTGTTACGCAGGGACGTAGAGTACATCTGTTTTTACCCTTTCCGCTTGTTGCCATGTAGCAAAGATGCCCTTATCATTCACTGGCATCTGTTTTCCAGAATTATGGGCCTTGGGCCATAGAAGTTTATTTCTGTGCTTTCAATTAAAGTCTACTGACCTAACTTAATGCCAGTTAATTTTATTTTATTTTTAATTTTAATTTAATATAATTTTATTTTTTTTTGCGGAACCAGGGATTAAACTCAGGCCCTTGCGCTTGCCAGGGAAGCGCTTATTCCACCGAGCCATCTCCCCGGCCCCACCAGTTAATTTTTAATATAGTTTTGTAGTAAGTTTTTAAATCTGGCATGGTGAGCCTTCTAATGTTCTTTAACGTTGCATTGATTATTTTGGATCCTCTGTGTTTCCACATGAATTTTAAGGTCAGCTCATACCTGGTCTCGGGAAAAGCATCTAGTTTTTTTTACCATATGTGAGATAAGCTGTGGGTTTCTTCTAAGTAAGTTTTATCAGCTTGAAAAAATTCCTCTTTCTAGTTTGTTGCATGTTTTTATCAGAAAGGGTGTTTGGTTTTGTCAGATGTCTTTTTTTTTTTTTTTTGGTATATCTTGAGATAATTATGTGGTTTTTGCCCTTTTAAATACTGTATATTACATTGGTAACTTTCAGATGTTAAATCAGTCTTGCATTCCTGGGATAAATCATACTTGGCAATGGTGACTAATGCTTCTTGTAGTTTGAATTTGGTTTGTAGGTCTTTCATTGAAGATTTTTGCATCTAATTTTCTGGTACTCTTATCACCTGATTTTTGGTATCATGGTAACACTGGCTTCATTGACTGATCTGGAAAGTGTCCATTCTTTGTTATTTTGAGACAAATGCTGTACCATTGAGCTACACTCCTAGTCCTTTATTTTATTTTATTTTTTAAAATTTTGAGACCAGGTTTCCATAAATTGCCTAAGCTTGCCTTGAACTCGTGATCCCCCATTTCAGTCTTCCAGAATACTGGCATTAGGTTTGCATCGCAGTGCGCACTTTAAAAATGCGCTTTTTCAAGTAGTGTTGATACCTCTCTCAAATAGATTAACATTGATCTAGAAATGATGCAATTCAGAACAAAATATAGATGAGGATAACAAAAAGCAATTACAGAAGAATCAAGCAAGAATGTGAGAATGGAAAAAAATATATAGAAGTAGATGAACTAGTGTCTGCTTGGCAAGTACTAGGGCTAGTAGTTCAATTCCTGGTACAAAACAAAAGCAAAAACAAAAATATAGGTGGTGGAGGTAGCAATAGAATCTTTAAAAGTCTTGGCAAAGAGGTTGTATAGAAATTTAAAGAAAGAAAGAAAGAAAGAAAGAAAGAAAGAAAGAAAGGCATTCCTCCATCTCTGGGAGTGAAATTTCTGCAAGTAAAGTATGCTACTGAAATATGTCTTCTTCAGTAGTGGTTATTGCAGTAATTAAATTACCTTTCCCTTTGTGATGTGGCATTACTCTGTTGGCAACTGAACGCCCAAAGGAGTAAATGCTATTGTTTTAATATGTTTATTCTAACTTATGAACTGAATTGTGAGAGAAATGCTGGAAGTAAAAATGAAAAGTTTATTGAAGAGCATAAAGCACACACTATAAATGTTGGCTTATACTAACTTCTCTGATGTCCGATACTATTTAGTCACCCTTGGTAGGAAATTTAAAGGCCTAAATCCTAGTACTGGACCTGTTATTAAATTAAGTAACTCGTAGCAAATTTGACTTTTTTTTTTTTTTTTTTTTTTTTTTTTTACTTCAAATCACTAAAAGTTCTTTCCACCTCTAAAAGGCTGTTGTTCTATTAAATTTATATACAGGTGGAAGTTTTTGTTGTTTTCAACTTTTATAATTTTAACTAGGGTATGCTGCATGAATAAGCATTGTCTAAAACCAAACACTGATTTGTTTGAAAACAAAGGGTTTCTTTGCAGTGTCGTTTCACTTGACATTGCCATGAATCCAAGATTTATCCTACATGAACCAGAGAACAGTAGTGTAGTTGTACTTAAATTTAGAGTTCCATACAGCCATTCACTAGAGATGAATTAAGGTGAAAAGTATTCTTTAAAAAGTTTTTGCAGTACATACAGTTTACAGTCATCTTGGGTAGTGGATATATGTACATTCTGTACTTGTTTTTTTAAATTTTTAATCCCCTTCCTTCCTCCTCCTTCTCCCCCTCCTCCAATTTTCCTATCACAGTTTCATTCTTGTTGATATTGTCAATCTTAGTTCATGTTATGGATATGTTAATGTTTACGTTGGTTGGGGTTACTAGGCTCTGACACATGGCTTGGTATCCATGACTCCAGGACCTATTATGGCTCCCAGAATCCATAAAGCTCAAGTCCCTTACATAAAATGACATAGTATTTGCAATAATATACATCCATCCTCCTGTATAAATCACCTGTATATTATTTGTGACATTTAATACAATGTAAGTATGATGTAAACAGTTGACATACCACATTATATAGAGAGTAACAACCAAGGAAAAGTCTGGCTATGCTCAGTATAATCATCGATGCAACTGTTCTAGGCCTAACAGTTTACAAATGAGGTAGTGGGCAGCTCAGCATGATAGCTCACATCTGTAGCCCTGTACTCTGGAAGACTAAGGCAGGAGGATTGCAGATTGTAGTTCAGTCTAAAGGCCTTGGTTCCATCTCCAGTACAACAAAAACAATCCCTGGCAGTAACGCTTAAGCTAGTGCTGGAGAAAGACTGTTAGATGGTGAGAAGCTTCAGCCAGATATGCCAGCACAGCAGAAATGAAGCAAATTAAAGTTTTGTTTTCTGGAACTTTCCAGACTTTTATTGAGATGGTTGGGATCAAACCCAGGCCTTTGCTTATGGTAAGCACTTGTTCTACCACTGAGCTGTACTCCCACTCTTCAAGTTTTAATTCTGATATTTCTCCCTATGATTAAAGGAGAATGAGTCTGTGGACTATGGCAGTGTAATCATTTGCAAAACTAGAATATACCTTTAAAATGTATGCTCTAATCTGGTCACAACTTGAGTGACTGTCATTGCTAAGCATTGTTATATAGCAGTAGCAAACTGTCTCTGGTCACTTATAATTTGTTTTGAGCACCTTTGAGAAATTATGTTTAACAGTGGTTAATAATAGAGCCTCGGGCCAGCCAGATACATCAGTGGACTAAAGTGCCTGCTTAGGCAAGCTCAGCAATGGGGGTTTGGTCCCTGGCCTGCAGTGCCAGTCTCACCCCCGGGGGGTGTTGAGATGGTCACTGAGACTGGGTGTGGTGGCACGCGCTTGTAATCCCAGCGTTTGGGAGGCTGAAAACAGGAGGATCACTACAAGTCCGATCTGTGTAGTGAGACTCTGTAGACCCTGTACTAAATACATTAAAAAAAATGGAGCCTTGCTGGCTGAGAGTGTGACTAAGTGGTAGAGCACTTGCTTAACATGTGTGTACCCTGGATTCAATCTACAGCAGTGCCAAGAAAGAGAGAGACAGAGGACAGAAGAGAGATTCTAAATTTACCCAGACCTCATCCATCACTTATAAAGTTCTTCATTTATAAAGGGTCTTACTAAGTTTAAAATAAATAGTACTTACAAAGCAGTTAACACAGTGCTTGTAACATAGCAAACACCCAATAAATGTCATTTAATTTATTAAATAATTAAATATTAAGAATTAAATATTCTTAATGAATTACTTTTTTTTTTTTTTTTGGAACCGGGGATTAAACTCAGGCCCTTATTCTACTGAGCCATCTCGCAGCCCATGAATTACATATTGACCTTGACTTTGTTTCTCATTTCAAAGGAAGACATAGCACAACTCTTTAAATCCTAAGAAGTTTTAATTTTTTTTTTCCCTCATATCAGATGGGTAATGTGCCCACATTGTAACAAGGTTTGAGGGAAGCACATCTCATGCATAAGGCATGAACATCCAATTATCATGCTCATGAACTAAAGGGTCTAAAGTTCGTAAGTTTTTTTGTTTTTTGGTTTTTTTTTGGCTGGCTCAGGATTCCTTCAGGGCAGGTCTGGTAAGGCTTGAGGATCTTGGGATTGAACCACAGCATCTTGATCACTTTGTTTAAGCAGTCATTTAAACAACTGAGCTAATGGGCAGGGCCCCTAAAAGTTTTGAATAATGAAAGAAAATTCTTTAGAGATGACTCCTGACCTAAGATTTAATGTAGTAAGCCAGTTCCTCCTACTGTTAGATACCCTTCTGTCTGACTTTAGCCATTGCCCTTTCTTTGGGCTCTACTAGCTCCGTATGGGCAATTAAATCTACTCTTCGTGGTTTTACCTATGTCTTTTTTAGTGACTCCCAAATACATGTCTTCTATTCTCACCTCTATTCTTTTACCTTTAGACTGAGGTCCTCAGTTGTCTACGACTTGATGCACTGCCCCACAGGTGGCTCACATTCAACATGTACAAAGCAAAGTATATCTGTTCTGTCCTTTTGCTGATGCCTCACTCCCACTTTTCACCAATTTTCTTTTTACTGCTCCTATTTCACTATATGATGTCATCATCCACCCAGACTTTGAAACGCATTCTAAACTTGGTCTCCATGATTGCCTGCATCTGGAAAGCCTTCCTGATTTCAGAGTTGCGTGTGTCATTTAGTTGTAGAATTTTTTCCTAACATGCTTGAGACCCTGGATTCAGTTCTCATCATTGCAAAAGAAAAGAAAAACTCCTGATTTTACCTCCTAAATAATTCTTGAGTCTCTCCTATCAGTTTAATTTCTGCTCCTGTCTCTTGAAGGCTTCATTATCCTTTTCCTCTTATGTGACTCCTTTATGTGATTTCTCAGTGTCTAGTCCCCACATCTCCCATTACTTTTCGTATTGATTTCAAAGTTCTCTGAAGTGCATATCTATCATCATTCCCATGTATAACTATTTTCTTTATTTCTTGCAAGGTCAAAGTTGAAGGTCCTTAGCATGGCTCGTCAAGTTCTTAGTGATCTCTGTCCTCTGTTTACCTACTGGAATTCCCAGGCTTCTGCTCTCAGCTCCCACATAGTGACTGCTTCTCTGCCTTACTCTAATGAATAGTGCTGGTATTGAGCTCAAGAGTTCCCTTCTTCAGGATGTCTTCTCTATCCTTTTTCACATACTCCTGCTCAAAAACAAACCACTTGCCTTTCCCCAGTGTTTCCATTGGACCCTTGGGATACTTCTAAGCCACTGTTGTACTGAAATTCTTTCAGATTCTTTATCTATATTTTTTGCAGGTCATGAGGAAGTCTTGAATGCCCTGCAACGCATTCAGCATATTTCTGCTTCTCTCCAGAAGGTGGGAATCATAGTTATTATTGAAATTATTTATTGGTACAGAAACACCAGCAAAGTAAAAAAGTAATAAGAAAAATGCCATTTTATCCTATCAGAATAGTAAGGTTAGTCATTTTACATGGATTTTTCCCCATTATTTCCCATTCTTAATCATAGACTCTCCTTTCTGTACAGAAATGCTGGCATGTTAATGTGACTCAGCTTTCGACACTTTTTATTCCCTTTCATTATGAGTCAGGTTATAGTTTATGATTTTTTTCCATGCTGAGAACTGAACCTAGGGCATTGGACATGTTAAGTGTCGCTGTACCTCTGAACTACATCTCAGACTCTAAAATTTATTTTTATTACAGCATAGAAGAATGTATAAAAAGTATATCCTCAAAAAGGATGTTTGTTCAGTTAACAAATACTGAACTTTATCCATGCAAACTTAGCCTTTATAGTTGATTTTCATGTTGCGATGATCATGTACTCATAGCTCAAAATACAAGCCGAAAATAATGGAGGTAAAAAATTCACCATTCTGATGATGCATTCCAGAGTAGATTAATCTTCTTAATACCTTATTTTAATTATATGCCTACATCTTAACCTTCAATAGCGCTTTATTTAGTTCAAGTTCAAACTCTTCACACTACCTAACCTTTTTAACCTATTTGGAGCAGTGCTTCTACAGGTCAGTCTGTACGGTTAGATTAGTTTGCTCAGGAGGCAGATTATAGATTATTTGTCTTGCTTGAATTAGCTTTTGACTTTTCAAATCTAGTCCTAGATTTGACTTTTTTAAATTTTAGTTTCAGAATTTATTTATTTATTTATTTATTTATTTTTTATTTTTTTTTCTCCAAATCCTTCATTTAATGCCAGGTAGTGTTTCAACCCAAATACACACTGTATACATACCACGGAGAAAGGGGCCCCAAGGGCATGTGAGTCATGCATGATGCAGTAGGTGCAAACCTTGGCCCAACCCAAAAGAACAGTTAGTCCAGGGCCTGGAAGAAGGATGGTATGTTCTTTCCCCTCCTCACTTCTAGTTTCAGAATTTAGCTTTAAACAAATATATTGGTGTATAAAACAAAAGCTTTATATTATCAAATAATTATTAAATGCTCACTATGGGCTAGGGACTATACCAATAAGTAAAGTTTTGGTGGGCTGGGAATATATAGCTCAGTGCCTGCCTGGAGTGCAAGGTCCTGATTCAATTCCTAGTACAGAATAAATAAATAAATAAATGTGAAAAAGCTTTGGATTTAATGAAAATCAATGTAACCTCTGGCCTCATGGAAGTTTTAGTCTAATTTTGAAGGCAGATAAATAATTGTAATTCAAGGTTAAAAAAATGCTGGATGGAAAAGTGCCCCAGGAGGCAGCAGCAAGGACATCTAACCAAGCTCTGAAATCATGGGATTCCCAGGCCTAGGATATCTAGCTTGATGTTAGCCATCAAGAATGCGTTACCAAGAGGAGCAGCAGGTACAAAAGGCCAAGTAGGAAGACAACCTGGCGCGCTCAGTAAAGTGAAGGGGTTTCTTCAGGCTGGATCTCAGGCCCAAGGAGCTGCCTGTATTAATATAGTTGATTACAAAGGAAAGAAAGGATATTTTTTTGTTCAGGAACTTGCTTGCTCTTCTTTTCAGGAAAAGAACAGCAGCTGTTCAAATCAATTCATTATTTTCTTTCAGAAAGGTTTAGGAGGGGAAAAAAATTCCGAAGAAATAATAAACTGTTGCTGGTTCACATAGTGATACATACGCAGTTTTTTCCTACCAGTACCCAGGGCCTTCTCACTGAACTATATTTTTATTTTTTATTTTGAGACAGAGTTCTTGCTAAATTGCTGAGTGGTCTCAAGTGGGCTCAAGCTTACAGTCCTCCTGTCTCAGCTTTCTAGATAGTGTGTGTGTACCACAATGCTAGCCTTTAATTTATATAATTTTATGCATTTAAAATTCATTAGTGCCAGGGAAATAGCTCAGTAGAATAAGCGCTTGCCTGGCAAGTGGAAGGGCCTGAGTTCAATCCCTGTTTCCGCAAAAAAAAAAAAAAAAAAAAAAATCAGAACATGTTCCAAACTCAAACTTTGCCGGGGAGATAGCTCAGTGGAATAAGCGCTTGCCTGGGAAACACAAGGTCCTGAGTTCAATCCCCAGTACTGGAAAAAAAAAATTCATTAGTATATTATCATGAGATTGCTGCAGTTCCCTGGCAATCCCCTTCCCACATTCCTTGATCTCCATTGCTATTGGGGAAATATCAGATCCTTAACATAGTTGTCAAGCCTTTGGTGATTAATCTCCACCCTGCTCTGTCTCCATTTTCTGTTTCTCTCTTCATTCAGACTTATCTTTTTCTCTGTCTACCTTTAGCAAATCCTTTGTTTTTCTGCTTTTGTGCCTTGCCTTGCCTTTCCTGCCCTTCCTTCCCTTCTCCTGTAACAGTCTTCTTCCCATTCACTGTCTTAAAGCTCAGACCAAATACTTTTTCTGTCAAATTTCCATTTTTTTGCTATACTCTGTGCCACCTCCAATTTTCTATTCCAGAAGTTTTTTTTTTTTTATTTTTAATAAAATACACCTTAGTCCTCTGCAGTGCTTTTAAAAATGGAAGTTAAAACCCATTAGTGACATCAAGTAAGTTTAGTGAGTTGTAGCCAGCATTGAAAAGCTGAGAATAAAATAAACCTAATAGAAAATATGAAAACGTGTTATACATAAAAAGGGATGATATTATTTCATGGTACTTTTGTTGCATTACTGTATAAAGTGTGTTTTTTACTGTGAGTCTAGTTCAAAAATTTGAAAGACACTGGTTGACAGTCTATGGATTAGCTCCTGAGATAATTTGTTACTTGCGGACAGGGGCTTATCACTGAGGCTATCTACTTCATATAAAATTGTCTTAGCTACTTTTTTTTATTGCTAAGACAAAATATCCGACCCCCACAAGGTCGAGGGTTTATTTGGGTTCACAGTTTGTAGAGGTTTTAGTTAATAGTCAGCTAGTTCCAAGACAGGGCAGCATGATAGGAGAAGCAGTCCATGGCAGTATAGGCAGAAAGCAGTGAAGCAGCAAGCAGCAGCAGTCCTCCCTTTATATTCCACCCAGGCTGCAAGCCTATTGATTGGTGTCAGCAACACTCAGGCTGAAATGTTCATTATCCACATCCAGAACAAGGTTAAACCAATGTATTTATCATTCCCCTCTAATTCCATTATGAGACCTGTCTATCTCCAAAAAGCCCTACGTATTAGTATATGAGGCTTTGAAGGAGACATACAGACTGGAGCCATTGCAAGAATCTAGGATGCTACTTTAATCATCCTGTCGATACTCTTTGAAAGTCTGCCTACGTTTTTTTAAATTATTATTTATTTATTTATTTATTTTGGTGCTAGAGATTGAACTCAGGACCTTGCCTGCCAGGCAGGTGCTTAAGCTGCTGAGCTGTCTCCCCAGTTCCCTAAGTCTTTCTAAGTGCTGTGTTTCAGGCATTCATGTCTCACAGCTTGGATGCTTTCAGTTCTATTTTTCTACCTGAGAAAATATTCATCTGTTCATTTTTATTCTAGTTTTTTTTCCATGTTTGTTGTTGCTATTGTTAAGAGGTATTGGAGATTAAATTCAGGTTCTCACATATATTAGAGTGTTCT